AATATAAGAATAAAATAAATAAAATAAAAATGTTAACTAAGTTAAAAATGCTAATGATGTTAATAACGTTGATCATTTGTTAATTTTTGTAACGCAGTAGAATTGACTTCATATGGTATCAATTTCCTTCTCTAAATTTGCAGCTCCTGCAAAAATTTCATAAGCTTCATCAACTAAGTCCTTGAACTTCTGGGATTTAAGATTATAAATTGTCCTAAGAGTTATTTTCCTAGTATGTCTAACTTGAGCGATTTTTAGAGTTTCAAAAAAATAGTATCCTTTTTGAGGCTTGCCGATAGTATAAGATCATTTGGTTCTTAAATTGAGTTCATTCAGCTGGAATTGAAGTTTCTGTTTCCATTACTTGCCCAAGATAAAATGCATTAGCTAAAGTTAATACTCTATTTTTTAACCTAGTAACTCGTAATAAAGCTCTATAAATAGTTTTAACTTTTTGCGCAATTGAGTCAGTTTTCATGTAAGATAGGGGAATATTGGTATCTACTAAAATGTTAACAGCCATTAAATCATCTTTAACTTCTTAAAATAAAGTCATCATGGTGGAAAATTTTGAGAAATTTTCAAAGAAATCTGATCCTTTATATAATAATTTGAGGCTTTTAATTTTGGCAATCATAGTAGGATTTTAATAGATTTCCATTTACAGGTGTATGTAACACTCTTCCATTTATTTCTCTTATCTTATACGATCCATTAATTAAACTTAATGGATATAGTAAAGTCTTTTTCATTTTGGGTTTAGCTTGCTAGACCATTACTTATCTTTAGTCACATCATAATATAAAACTTTATCTCCAATCTCAAATTGATAAAAATGATTAATTTGTCTATCATAATAATTCTTTTGTTTTTGTTGTACTATTGCAATATGATTTCTTGCAATTTTTCTAGTTTGTGGTAATTGATCAACCAAATTTTATAAATATTTAGATAACATGATATTTGGATCGTTAAGATCGTTCAGGGTAATGTTGCATTTCTTCTATACACTAGATAAAAAGGAATATTTTTGTGATAGAGTGTTTGTTTGTATGATATACAAACAAGGTTGATGCAATTTATAGATCCCAATTATCTAAATCTTGTGCAGATTTTGCTAAAGATTTACACAAAATACGGTTAAAACATTCCACTAAACCATTTGTTTAGGGGTGATAAAGTGTTGATAGTAGATGTTTGATTTTAATCTTATCCATCAACTCTTTGATCATTTGATTGTTAAAATGGGTTTCTCTATCAGAAAGGATTGTTGTAAGGCATCCATAATGACAGATTATGTATTCATAAATAAATAAGGCAACCTATTTTACCATAGCTTTAGAAACAGCTTTAGCTTCAGGCCACTTAGTTAAATAATCAACTGCTACGATGATATGTTTATTTCCATTTGATATTATAGATAAAGATCCAATGAAATTTATACCAATTTGATAAAAAGGTGCTTAGACTAGTATAAGGTGTAGCTTTTTGTGTTTCTTTAGTTTTCCTCTTCTTTGACAGCTATCGCAAGAATGAACATATTCTCTAATTGTGGCCAATAGTATCATTCTTTGATTTTATCAAACATTATATTCACTGCAAAATGTCTAGCAGTTGGATCATTATGCATTATGTAAAGTACAGCTTCTATTTAATGTGATCAAATAATTCTAAGAAGCTTTTGGCAAACATATTTATACAAATAATTATTTTTAATTTCAAAGTATCTAAATTGTTTAACTAATTTTTGTTGTTGAGTTAGTATTAATTCGTCTGATAAAGTTTAATTTTGTAAATAATTAAAAAGATGATTATATTGTGTTATATCCATTATGAGCTGTTTGTCAAACTGCAAATACTTTTGCTTTTACTCAAATAAATATATTTTAATAAATGTTGAGATAGATGAGAAATTAATAAGAGGATGAAAGGATAAGATCTAACACTTTGTAAAGTTGAAAATATGCATTTTCTTATTAAACTAAAACTGGTTCTTTCCACTATACATCATTAACTAGATAAGTTGGTTTTATATCAGGATGAATTTTTCCTCTTTTATATTCTATAATACAATCATGAATAATTGTACCATAAGGTAGATTTTTTTTACATGCCTTACAATAGGTGTGAATATGATGATTCTCAATATCACAAGCAAAGGTACATTGAGATCCTTCTTTAGTAATAGGTTGGTTAGCTATGACTGATTTTATCTTAATATTTTTATAATATATATCTTCTATTTTATCCTTTGGACTTTCATATTCAACTGCAGTAATTAAAGATATGTTGAAAAATTGTTAAAATAATTGTTTCTCAAACTATATTTCTTCATTATCTTTAATAGAATTATGCTCAGAAAAAATATGCCATTCATCCTCTGATTCTTCAGTTTCAACAGTAGTTATCATGAAAACTTCATATGTATTATCTTCAATATTAATTTGAGAAAGAGCATCAGCATTAGCATTTAGTTTTCCAGGCCTATGCTTAATTTCAAAATTATATTATTAGAGTTCTATGATCTATTATGCTCTCCTTGTCTGTAACCATTTAAGAGCTGAATGGTCAGTAACAATGGTAAAAAATTATGAGCTTAAATAATGGTGAAAGTATCTTATAGCCCATATAACTGCAAGGTATTCCTGGTCGGTTATCCCATAATTTTGTTCAAGTTTATTCATACTTCTACTGGCATATGTTATTATACAATTGAGTCCAATTTTTATCTTTTGAGAAAGAACAACTCCTAAGCCATTTCCAGAAGTATCAGTATATAAAATAAATGGTTTATTAAAGTTTAAATACTGCAGAATAGTGCGATAATTAATTTTTCTTTTAAAATATCAAAAACCTTTTGTTGAGCATCTGTCTAAGAGAACAGTTCTTCCTTTTTCAACAATTGGGTTAGAGGTTTGGCAATTTTTGAAAATCCTGAAACAAATCATTGATAATATGAAATAATCCTAAGGCAGATCTTAAACTTGTTAAGTCAACTGGAATAGGAAAGCTTTTAACTTTATCAATTTTTGTAGGATCAGATTGTAATCCATTTCTTCCAACCACTTGTCCTAAGTATGTTATATTAGATAGACAAAAGTGATACTTTTTAAGCTTGATCATTAAATTTACTTGCTTGATCGCTTGAAATACTTTTCTTAAATGTTGAATATGATTCTCATAAGTTGTTGAGTAAATAATAATGTCATCCAAATAGACAGCAATGAATTCATACAAGAATTCTTAAAGAATATGATTCATTAACCTTTGAAAAGTTGCTGGTATATTCTTTAGGTCAAAAGGCATAACGTTGATTTCGTACAGGTCAAACTGAGAAATAAAAGCAGTTTTTTCCTTATCTTTTTCATTCATTTCTACCTGCCAATAGTCACTAGCAAGATCAAGTGTAGAAAACCAATTTGCTACTCTGAATTTTTCTAATAAATCGTCAATTCTCAGTAGAGGATATGCATTATATTTAGAGATAGAATTTAATTTTCTGTAATCAATGCAAATTCATTTATCTCCAGTTTTTTTTGTTACTATAACTATAGAAGAGGCCCAGAGGCTTAATAACTTCCTGATAATTCTATTTCTTCTATACACTTGATTTCATTCTTGAGAAAATTAAGTTTTACTGGATCCTTACACTTATAAACTCCTGTGGTGACTGGATCATATTTATTAGTCAGAATATTATGTTTTATCAAATTAGTTCATTTAATTTTTGTTTGATTTAAGGCACATATATTCTCATAATCATCAATTAATTTTTGAAAAGATGTTTGCTGCTTGTCATCAAGAAGTCCCACTTAAATGTCATCTTTAATTTTCCAAATATTTTCTTTAGAAGTTTCAGCAAGAAATACTGTTGGGTTAGGTTCAAATTCTTCTTTAAATGCAAAAGTTAAATAGACAGAATTTTCTTTATTCTAAGGATTGTAGTTGAGAGGTAGAAAGTCAATTTCCTTCTTATATTCTTCTTGACTATCTGCAATGTATGCTTCGATTTCGCTAAGTTCTTCTTCTTCATAGTCATCTAAAACTTGTTCTAATTCGTCATCTTATTGATCTTGAGTAGTAGAATAACTAATAGGAGTTTAATTTATACTAAAAGTCACAGGAACTGTGATTGTTTTTGCTAAATATCTCAACCTAATCTGATTAATTCTAAAATCAAAGCTAGCATGAGTTTTTCTAAACCAATCCATTCCTAAAAGTAAAGTTTCATCTTGGGAGTTGATAACTTGTAAAGAGATAAGAATTAATAGGTTTTGAATAGCAATTTGGGTTCTTTAACTTGTCCTAATGCTTTAGTTCTTTCTCTATTAGCAGTAACTGCAATAGTATTTGACTATTCATCGATAAATAATCCTACTTTCTTTATTAATTTTCTGGTGATAATGCTGACAGTAGCCCCTGAATCCAGAATAGCAACTATAGGATTTCCTTTAATTCTAACATAACAATAAACAGCTGTAGATTTGTCTTCCTTTTCTTCTTCACTTTCTTGATTAGCATAATTTGTTTCTTGAATTTTTGGTCTCCTCAACCCTTAAGTAAAATTACGTCTTTAATTTGGATATTGTAAAAGTTGACCAATTTTTGCAGAAAAAGGTATTTGATCAATTTAGGATGGTTCTCGTTTGACTTTCTTCTTTGGAATAGGGTAATAATTTGTGGGTTTCTACTTTTATAAATTCGTCAATGAGTTTTCTGCTTTTTAAGTTTAATTCTTTTCTGGATTCAGATTGCTTTTTCCTTTCTGCTTCTAATTATCAGGCAGTTTTTCTATTAGTAGTATAAGGTTTGTTTTGTAGGAAGGCATAGACTTCTTCCTCCTCTACTTCTTCAACTTCCTCTTCTTCATTATCAGTAAAAACTTCAACATAACTAGCTTCTTTTTTATCAATTTTCCTTTGATATACTGGTTTTTCAAACATACATTCTTTTGAATAATGTTCTTTTTCTTGGCAATGATAACAAATAACATCCTTTTTATCCTACACTTTTGTATCTCATACCTTGATATCCCAAACTTTGGTAAGATTTCTATCATCTTTTGGTTTTCTTCTATCAGGTTTTCCTTCGAGTTATGCAGATAACATATTGGAAAGAGTTGTATAGTTTAAGAATAGCTGTTCCATTTGTTTGGTAAGATTATTGATAGCATTATTATTTCTACTTATTTGAGTTAGTACAGGAAATTGTTATTCATAATATTGACTACTTTCAACTTGTTTAGCTGCTTTAATAGCTTCATCTACATTTTTAGGATGAATAAATGCTATGAGAGAGATGATATTCTTTCTTAATCCATTAAGAAAAATTCTCACAGTATATTTATCTGATAAGGCATTAGAAGAGTTAACTTTCTTTATCAATCTTTTAAATTTTTCTGCATAAAAATCTACTTTTTCATAAGGTTCTTGGCGAAGTGTATTTAACTGATGGTGCCATAGATTTTACTTTTCTTCAGTTAAGAATTTTCCAAAAATAATAATACAAAACTTGCGGTAGTATTACCATCTTTATTCTATTATTTCATAGTATCATCATTTTCTTCAAACTAATATGCAGCTAATCTATATAAGTATCCTAATACAATTTTTCACATGTGAGCTTTAGACCAATTATTTGCTTCAACAGCAATTTCAAAGCTTCTAATCCAATCATTAGGGTCTTCGTCATCATTTTTACAGAATGGCTTTACTAGAATAATATTATTTTCTTTTGGTATAAGATTTCCATCATGTTTACCTGAACCAGATGGTGTACTTTTGATATCTTTAGCAAGATCTTTGAAACTTTTTGTCATGTGGTCTATGAGGTTCTTTAACTGTTCTGTATCATTGTTATTTCAGTTAATTCAGAGGTTGTAGATATAGGAGTAAGGGGTGAGATAGAAGTATTAAAAGATTTTTTAAAGCACTCAATAGTGTGAGTGACTATAATAAATATTGTAAAACAGAAGGTAAGTCAGCAGGGTATAGGTAATAATTTAAATAATATAATAATACGACTGCTGCTTTTGTCATTTTATTACTATTATAAGCATTTTCACGATAGCTATCTAAATAAAGTTTGAAGGCTATTAAAGAACAATTACTGAATGCTATAGTATTATATTCACTAGAGATCCAATTCCAAAAGTTTTTAAAATTCTTTGTTACTATTTGGCTAATAGGATTGCACTGCACACAAGATGCGTCTTTTTCTAAAGGAGAATTATTTCTATGTGCTTCTTTATAATATTCTTAGATTATTTTTAGAATGTTAAAACTAGTAGATACATTCATATAAGTTTAATGAAAACAATTATAATCTTAGCAGGAATTACCAATTTGTTAATCTTATGCTCAGCCCGTCAAACTTAGGGTAACTATGACTTAATAATAGGAAGTAACGTGCGAAAAACTACTAAGTTACTATAGAATAAGTCCTATCACAATCAATCTTAGGTTTATACTTTTAAACGAGTAAATAACTTTAACAACTTGTAAACACGATAAATACAATTGACACATTGAAGAATTTTTAATATGTGTAGTTTTAGAAAGAGATTCTTTTATTGTAGAGATTTGTATCCTTAGCAATCCTTAACCTTATATTCTAAGTCTTGAACTCAAATTATTAAGTTTACACTGTTATCTCTACCTTCTTGCAAAGACAGATTTATATCCTATTTATACAAAAATACAATTATAAGAAATTACTATATAACGCTAAACTATTTTATAATGCTAAGATAAATATAAAAGATAATTTATAATTTAACAACGATAATAATATAATAGATAATAATAATAGAATAAAATAAATAAAATAAAAATGTTAACTAAGTTAAAAATGCTAATGATGTTAATAACATTGATCATTCGTTAATCTTTGTGATACGGTAAAATTAACTTCATATGGTATTAATGAAAATTTAATTGTTCTCTTTTTTGAAGGTTCATTAGAACTGGTATTAGTATTTAGTAGAAGTTTTCTCTTTAATTTGTATTTAATTCATGTAACTTTTTTTATAGACATCGTTAATAAATAATGCTGATCGTGTTATATTTTATTTTAATAAGGATCTACATATAATTGCTATAATTGTTTTGTCATTAGAAATGTTATACAAATAACATAAATAATAATGTGACTTGTAGGATATTAGTATTAGTATTTAGCTTATTTTAGGGTTATGTTATTTAAAGTAAAAGTTTGTGCAATATAACTGATTTCTTAGAAAATAATACTAAATATAATTCTTCCAAAATTTTAATATATGTTTTCATATTTTCTTCATAATATTTTTTTTAGAATAATAATTAATTAGTAATTCTTATTAAAAATACTAAAATCTTTGAAACTACAATGGTTATCATAACAATGATAACCAAAAAAAGGCAGTATCTTTTAAAAATAGAAGGTGATATATTCTTTATATTTTTATATAAATTGTGTACTATTAAAATTTTAGGTTGATTTATTTAATATTAAATTTAAAGATATTATTTATTTATTTTTATTTTTGTAATTATTGCATATATAATAAAAGGATTGTGTCTAAACCAGAAGATTAAATCTCCTAAAAAAGAGCATATTATTCATTTTATTTAAAAAGTTTAATTAACAAGAATAAATTATTTCTTTCATTATAATTTTTTGAGAAAGAATGCATCAACATATTTGAAATATCCTAAATCTATATAAATAATAAAAATTTAAGCAATGCAGTTAAAGTTAAAGATTAAAGAAGTTTAACTTCTAATATGCAATCAAGTTAAAATAGTAAAAGACATTATTATAATTATAATAAAGATTAACAAAAAAAATTTCAGAGTAAATAAGATAATCACGGTATGAAATATATTTTTTCAAGTAAAACTTTTTGAATATTTTTTTTAAAGAAATTTATAATTGAAACTGTTACTTATATATAAATAAATTTTTGATAAATCATTTATCTTGAAAGTTACTTAATATTAAAGATACTATCCCTGTATTAAATTTGAAATTAAATGTTCGATAAAATTTAAGGTAAAACAAACTATCTGTCTATGATATTTTTTTTAAAAAAATGTAAACATCAACTAATTTAATCATTTTATAGAAGAAAATTCAACCTTATTATAAACTCTATCATAGAGCATTATAATGAATTACTTTTTAATAATTCTTAGTTACTTTATTATTAAAGTAATCAAATTACTAACTTTACTTAACTCTTTAACAATTTTCTGATATTATAATATTTTAATAACCTAATTACGTCTAATATTTCAAAAAATAAATTTTTTACAAAATAGTCAATGAATTTGTATATCAATATTATATTTTAATAGGAGATTAGGTAACTGTAAAGATTATGTATAATATAATAGTTTTTTTTAAAATAAGAAATTTATTTAAACTATATAGTAAATTTTAAAATTTAAAATTTTTTTAGTATTCTGAAACTATTAGAATAATAAAAAGATTGAAAAAACTTAAGCCATATAGGTTTATTTTTTTTTTTTTACTTTTTAAGTACTGATATAACTAACTAAAATCTAACTAATGGTTAGTTCAATTATTAAATAAGTTTATTCTTATCCTGATACTGTATATTATCATTTGTTCTTTTAATACTTATAATTTATTTATTATTTTTTTTACTAATTATATACTTTGATAGCTAAATTAGTGATTTAAAAATTCTAAATCAATTCATCTTTTTACTACTAAGTTAAAAGAAAAATATTAAATTATATAGTATGATCATAGTTAAAAATTCTTTTTAGAGTATTATAATTGACCAATTTTTTTTTATTTAATAGGTAATTTGATTTTTAACATTTTTTTATTCTTTTTAATGTGATTTTTTTTTGCAGGATGATTTATTTTTTTAGTTTATAAATAAGTACTCTTTTTTTTTTTATATTATATTTTATTATAATTATTTTTATTTTATTGATTTTTTTAGAATTATGATAAAGATTTTATTTTTTATTTAACTTTTTTAGGCAATTTATTTAAGAATTAAATATATTAATAAGGTTTTTTTATTTATTAATTATTTTTATTTTCAGATTGAATTCATAGAATTATTATCATTTATCTTTTTTTAGGCAGCTTTTCTTTTATTTCATTTTTAATTACTAAATTAAGCATAATAACTAAATAATTTTAAGAGTTCAAAAGTTTTAAATGGCTAATGTTATATCTAATAATTATTTAAACTAATTAAATTGATTACGGTATGTTTCACTGAAATCCCCTTTGCCAAAGCTAATTTACCAAAAGAACATTTTGTCGAATGGCCATTTTGCCAAATATCTATTTTTCTGAATAGACTTTTCACTGAAAAGAAGTTTCGCTGAATGAACATTTCATTGAGAGGACATTTCACTAAAATGACATTTTACTGAATCTGTTTTGCCAAATGAACACTTCATTAAATCTATTTCACTAAAAAGACATTTTGCTAAAAATAATAATTTGCTATTGATTATTAGCAATTTGCCAGATTTATTGAACTTTTTTTATTATTTCTAATGAAATTATTAAAAAAAACTTACTTTATAATGTAAAACCTAAAAATGATAAATTAAACAAATATTACTCAGTAGTCATTTTTAGCAAAATGTCCTTTTGATATATCTGTTCAGCAAAAAGGATTCAGCAAAATGTCATTCGGCAAAATAGCATTTTGACGATGTATCCTTTCAGAAAAATAGTATTTCAATAAAAATATCTTTTAGTGAAAAGTCTATTCGATGAAGTAGTCATTCAGCAAAGATTCCTTTCAGTGAATTATTTTGGTAAAGTAGGTTTCAGTGAAATAGATTCGGCAAAATATCTGGATACTAATTGAATTAAGATAACAATATAAATTAAAATTATCCAAACATAAAGAACAATTTTTAAGTACTATATATGTTATTTGGAAAATCTGTGAATTAATAATATTTGTTATATAAAATATTTATAAATTCAAATAATATCAATTATATTAATCTATTAATATTGTAAGTAAATGATAAAAGAGACAAATAACTTTATAATAATAATTATATCTTTTCTTATATTATGTATTAATGAAACTATAATGCAATAAATTTAAAAGTAGAGTTCTGAATGAGTCAAATCGAGTTAAGTTTAAGGATCAACTCTATTCAACTCATTTTTTTTAAATTGAGTTAAGTCAAATTTATTTTATAAAATCTTTCAACTTGACTTGATTTGAGTTATATAAATTTAAATTCAATTCAATTTGACTTGACTCGAGTTTAACTTGACTTGATTTTGACTTAAATTTATTTGAGTTGAGTCAAATTCAAATCAAGTTTTAAGTCAAATTTAAATTAACTTATAAATATTTAAATATAAAAAATTTATTTTAAAT